GGTATACCTGCGCATGCCATGCAAGGTATCTATTCCCCACCAATCACGATGCAGCGTAATATGAGATCATAAGGAAAACAAATGAAATTATAAACTTATACTCTGAGGATTTGTTTCAATTGTTCAAGTTTTGTATAAAAATAATTTCAAAAGACCAAATGCATTATGTACTATTTAAAACACTTGTAGTCGTGTTTTATCATATTTAAAATGCGAGTGCGCACCATGCACGATCATTTCAGATATGATAAAACACGACTATACAAGTGTTTTAAATAGCTTTAAACACGATCACAATAGATGCCGTCTCATTACTATTCTTTATATAAAGAATACTAATTAGGATAGACTTTTATATAAAGAATACTAATGAAGATGAGTTTTATCAGGTTTAAAGCCTCTTCTAGCCCGCGTGCAGGCCCAAGGGAACTGATAGTGGGCCTGCAAGCAAGGCCCGGTATTTTGTACTTTCCGCGTTCGCCCACGAACGTGGCATTCTGATTGGCTGTTTGCTGTTGGATTCTATAATTAGGTCAGTGATTCATCGCAAAGGCTCTCGATAAGCTTAAAATTCGAAAATTGATCACATTTTTCGATTATAAATGGTACAAGAACAGACTGTTTATTGTTTACTTGAAAGAAGAGATATTTTTGCCGTTATGCCAATGGGGATTGCTTGTCGTGAGGTGTTGGAATAGCAACATTACGACCAGGGCCGCCCAGAGGGGGGGGGCAAAGGGGGCAAATTGCCCCGGCCCCCGAGTTGCTAGGGGCCCCTGAAAAACCTTTGTAGGGCCCCAGCCTTTTTTGTGTGTTAAATATTTCCGCGCAAAGGACAAGATATCTGTTTTCTTGGGCTAAGTACCGAATTTTGGCATAAAAAAATGAGATAAAGTCCCTCGAAAGCATTTGCAACGTACTCGTCTGGCAAAATTTTGTACTCCGGAAAAATTTTTTTACCCCTAAAATGGTACACTGACCGAAAATTTTTTGGCGACGGGGGGGGGCGGGGGGGGGAGGTTGTTATCCGGAAAAAAATTTTTCCGGGAAAATTTTTTTAGATAGGGGCCCCTAAAAAACATTTGCCCCGGGCCCCCGCCAACCTCTGGGCGGCCCTGATTACGACTGGGGTAAACTATAGTAACCTTTACTTGAGTTTCATTAATTTCAAACAGACTTGATACGTTATATGTTCCTCAAGAAAATTATCTTTTGGTGGTTGATGTTGAGATGCAGTTGCATGTAAGCCTATTCGAAACACTTTGCGATTTACAAGGCTTCGCTGAGAGAGCGAAACAGAAGACGATATTAAATTGTCGTTTGAAACGAAACGATCTGGACTCTGAACGCTCTCTTCTTTTGTAGAGTTCTTTACCAAATGAAATAACTAAAATAAATTTCGTACTTTCCGCCGCCAACAAGAGCGTGTTATGAAAAGGGGCGTTTTACAAAATACCGGGCCTTGCTTGCAGGCCCACTATCAGTTCTCTTGGGCCTGCACGCGGGCTAAGCCTCTTCACGTGACATATTATGGTTGACATGATTTGGCAATAAGATTATGAATTATTAATGAGTGTAGTTGAAGACATTCTAAATATTCGCCAGGAAGCAAAATTTATCCTGCGATAAGTATACGACGTAAAGCAGTTGTGGTAAACCTCGTAATCCTCGTATTCAGTAGTGTTGTAGTCTAGGTAATACAGTCTCGTGGTTGACGGTCGCTAAAGGCCTTTTCAATCCAACCGTACATTTACGGCATTAACGTTTCGACGTTCAATAATCAATATTGTAAGCTCAGCTATCGAGCAGCTTCGGCAACGTTGAATGCAAGGAACAGAAACCCAATTAATGTTTGAGATTATATCGTGTTCTAATAAATGGCCGGTATCTGTTTTTTCCAATTTATTTGGATCAATATATACAATATTTTGTACAAATATAAGAATATAGCAGAACAAATATTTACACCAATTAAGAAAACCTATCAGCTAAGGAAGTCCAAAAAGACCAGTTGCGAACAGGACTCTTAGAAAAGGACCAATGCAAGGTACCTACCCGCCAGCCATCAAACTAGCAATGATAAGTTAGTTAGAAAAGGACCCATGTAAGGCACGTGTTGTTAAACTAGTAACCATGCACAGTGCTTGTTAAGTACATTAGAATATATTCATATAATAACAAATTATTAGTTAGAATATTGAAAAAAGAATTGAGGGGATGAAGTAAGGACAGAAAATAGGTAAGCACGCTGGCAAGACACATACACAGATAAATAGAAGATATAAAGAACAGACAAAACAAACAAACATGCAAACGTTAAAAGATAGACATACATATTAGAGAGGTTCAGATTTGACTTCCACTAACGCTACTGGGGAAGTTAGCATGATCTGCTTTAAAAACAAACCAAATTTAAAATTTATCCCTGGACACCATGTTGTTACCAGTTAAGCCACGGATGACACCGTATGCCATTCACGCCACCATTAATTAAGATACCATTAACCAATTAGATGCGTTTGGTATATATATGATTGACCCAATCACATGAATATTAAGCCAGTGAGATGTAATATCAGCGGAAGTGGAAGTCAAATTATTCACAAAAAGACAGACATGCACAAAAAGTATGGCTGAATTAATGGCTGGGCAGTTGCGCACCAAGGAGAATATCATTATCAATAGTTATCATTTCATTGCGTCCACCTTTTCATGAATATTATCTTATTGGAGTAACTTTGACACTTCCAATCTTTACGAAGTACGTTTTCGGAACAAATTGTAAAGACAAGAAAATAAGTGCCATAATTACAACTATTTACAATCGAAACTTGAAAGAAAACTTAATTCGGTAATTCCCAGGTAATTTATGTTGGTTTTTCGTGTAACATAAATGCACCAAAAAAGGACAATGTTTCGTTGAAATAATAATACTTTGAGAATGGTGATTCCACGGAGATCCTCTGACCTTTTGATATTTCAAAAATACCACTTGTGTATTGAGTTTCATATTTTCGGTTCTTGCTGACAATACTGTGAACTGCTTTGAGAATCTTTTTGCCATCCAAGTACACTTCATAGCCAATGTATGAACTTGTTCCATCGTAGTAGAACATTTGGCAATACACAAAGTAAACACCGTCTATTCCTACTGTAAGATAACCGTTGTTGTAATACATTTTCCCTGACCTGTACTGTGCTTTCCATGTGACTTTAGGGCTTATCACTATAGAACGTAAGAAAATCATATATGATTGACCTTGCAGAACCTCAAAGACTAACTTGATCACTTGTGGTTACGATCACGTCATGTCATCATATATTTTGACTTCCCGCGTCAAGTCACCCTCACAAGGAAGCAGGATGCAGACAGTAGTGAGTCACTATAGTGACAACCACTTCTCCGAAGACGCTTTTAAAGTGCATGTGTCCTTTTGTATGCTATTACTTGTCCCGCGCTCTAAATTTCAGCGGTCAACTGTATACTGGGTACGGTTATGTAGTCTCTTAAAAACTATGTTTGTATAAAGAATTCTTTTCAATGAGCCATTTTTACAGCGAGAATGTTGTAAATCTGTAATATTCTTTAAAAATGAAATCGCTGCTTTTTTAATTAATTTACCATGTAGTAAAATATCGTTTGCTATGCGACTTCATATAGCTTGCCGCACTTCTAATGCTTTGTGCAATGAGACTCGTGGCAGCCATAATGGTGTGGTTTCATTATTTAGTTATTCACTCGAAGAAGAAAGAAAGGTCACTCTATCTATCTAGACAACACTTCTCCTTTCCCACCATGCAATAACTAGAAAATGTTGCAACCTCTTCCAACATGTCAACAATATGACAGTAGTTTGTGGTTGTCACATCAATATGGCCGCCATTGGCTTCATAGCGGATGAACTATCCAGTCCTAGTTTTCAGATCAGTGTAATGGACTCTATCGTGCTCTCACGTTTGGAGGCAATAAACGGGCAAGACATGGAGACGTACCACATTGATCTATTTATTTTCCTTTAAAGGCGTCGGAAGGGAAAGTGTGATCTGACAGCAAAATATGACTGAATGCCTGACTGGCGCAAAATATTCATAGTCCCACTTGTAGTCAAATGCGAACTTCTCTCTGATCTCTTGGAGGTTATTTCCATACAGTATTAACTATAGAGATTATCGTAACCAACTGGTTATGTCTTATGATCATGCATGCAGTGGCGGAAATTCACTTTTTCCGATGGGGGGGGGCAAAGCCTCCTAAATTTCCGACAAAACTTTCAAATTTCCGACGTACTCCCCCCCC